GGGTGTCGGGGGCGCTAGTGAGAGGCGCGGCCGGAAACGGGGGGGCTCCAGTGCGGGCGCGGGGGGGCAGCGCCGGGGCCCCGCCCGTCCAGGCCCGACCCTGAGGCGCTGCTAGGACGCGGGAGGGCGAACCTGAGCCCCGCAGGCCGGCCGGCCGGCCACCCGCCTGAGGTTTGTGCAGTTTGTCTTGGCGCCGATTCGGCGGCCTCTGTTGGACGAGTAGTTTATTGACGCGCGTACCAGTCATCGCTGAATGCATCACCCCAAATCACCGAGTGCCGCAGATGTGTTACTGGGGCCCTCCTCTGTGCTTCCTGTTTCCGTCCCTGGAGTTCGCAGCGTGGACAGGTGGTCCCTGTGCTGAAAATAATAAATGCCTGAAGTACCTTTATTGAACGACTGCTCAGTCCTTTGGCTCTTCTCACGTCGGGGGTGGTTCTTAAACCTTAAACCTGATTTTCTCTGCACTAGGTTCGTCGTATCTGACTTCTGTTCTTGCGTGAATGCGGATGCTGACTGAGTCATTCAGGTAAATATTCAGTTGACTCTTCCTCAAAAATCTTACCATATTTATTTCTATTTTCTCAGGAAGGACAGGGAAAAGAGGCTGCTTAGCCGCGTGATGGCTTGGACATATTTACATCCATGTATTTTGAATTAAAAACTGAACTGCTGCTCTACAAAATACAACGTATTTTAAACCGTGTTATCTTTGGAAAAAATAGGATTTCCTTGTTAATTAGGTTTTCATTACTGTTGCATTGTTCTAAGTAATACCCTAATTGTTTATCTTCAGCAGACTTTCCGGCTACAACTGTATCTTGTGATGTTTAGCTGTATCATCCTTTCAAAGATATGGTCGCCCTATTTGTGGTCTAACACTTGTTTTTTTTCCCCCCCCAGGAGAAATTATTGTAGAGTCTAAAAATATCTTTCTCCCTTCTCTATGGACTTAACATAAAATTAGTTTTGTATGTATTTGGATTCATTTTCTAAATATCAACACCATAAAGCCTTATCAGTTACCAAACATTCAGGTAGTTAAACCATGAGTTGTGGAAAGGAGTTTGTGGAAACGTTAAAAAAAATTGATTATCCCAAAGCTGATATTCTTAATGGGGAAGATTTTGACTGGTTGTTTGAGACTGTTGAAAATGAATCATTTTTGAAGTGGTTTTGTGGGAATGTGAGTGAACGGAATGTATTATCTGAAGAGGAATTGGAAGCTTTTAGCATTCTTCAGAAATCAGGCAAGCCCATCCTAGAAGGAGCAGCGTTGGATGAAGTTCTTAATACCTGTAAAGCTTCTGATTTGAAGACACCTACCCTGAATGACAAAGAGCTGGAGAAATTAGAGGATGAGGTTCAAACTCTGCAGAAATTAAAGAACCTGAAAATTCAGCGACGTAATAAATGCCAGTTGATGGCTTCAGTAACTAGCCACAAATCTCTGAGGTTAAATGCTAAAGAAGGAGCAGCCAGTAAAAAGCTGAAGCAGAGTCAGCGAATTCTAAATGCTGCCAATACTAAGATCAGTAATGAGCTTCACGCCCTTACTGATGGAGTCGCAGAATTACTGGTGTTCTTCAGACGTTCGAATTTGAGTCAAGGAACAAATCCACTGGTGTTTCTCTCCCAATTTTCATTGGAAAAATATCTAAGCCAAGAAGAGCAGAGCACAGCAGCCTTAACCTTATTTACCAAACAGCAGTTCTTTCAAGGTGTACATGAAGTAGTTGAAAGTTCAAACGAAGAAAATTTTCAGCTGTTAGATATGCAAGCGTCCTGTGTGTGCGGTAATCAAGCAGTTCTCGAGGAGAGACGGCTAGAGATGGCTAGGCTGCAGCTGGCATATATTTGTGCTCAACATCAGTTAATTCACTTGAAAGCAAGAAATTTGAGCCTGAAGTCAAGTATAAAATGGGCAGAGGAGAATCTTCATAGCCTCACTAGCAAGGTAAACATGAGAAATGAGACTGGATTCCTATTGAAGTGGTTGTTGATAATGGAGTAATACTGATAGTAAAGTCTTTAGAAAGGGGGACATAATAAGGAATCACAGTCTCTTATTTTCTGTTTGTTCAGTGTTAAGTTGTGATCTGTGTCATTGTTTCGTACAAATAGATCTTCATATTAGCCGAGGGCGGAAATAGTAATTATAACCCGACCACATTATCTAGCTCATTTTAAACAAAAGTACTTTTGCTTTCTGTGTTGGTTCAGATACAGGTGACCCTGACATTTCCTTTTTTATGATGAATGGGTAAAGAGCCTTATTGCTGTGTTACGGGTTTTCTGCCTTGTTTGCGCTGACCAGAGGATGGTGCTAATGAAGTTAGAGATGCAGTTCAGTGGATTGAAACCCTGATTCTTTTCTAAGAATGTATAGATGTATTATAGTTAGCCATCTGCACTCTTGGGAAGCTTGCTTTCTTGGTAATGTAACCACTAGACAGTTGAGTAAAAATAACAGCTTTTCTGAAGCTGAATACCTATAACTGACACAAACTTTGGAATGATGTGTGAAGTCCTGTTATTCTGTAGAAGTGCTGAAATCAACAGGCAGGCTGGGAGAGTAGCTACTGAGATTATTTTAATTTTAAGAAAAACTTAAATAGTATACGTTAGCATTCGGTGAGTAGTGTGATTTTTATTAAGACAAACATGACAAGATGTCTGTTTTGTGTCTGGACAAGATGTCCAGGACTGTGTCTAGTATTTTACATAGTAGTAATAGCATTAACAGTTAGCAATTCATAATGGCTTTACCCTTGGCTTAGTCTACACTTTGCTTTTTTGAACTGTGATTTTGGCTTCTGCTAATATGAAATAAGTTTTTATTAGTGAGTATGTTATCTGATAACCTAAGATGGAAAGTGAAAATAATTTTAAAACTATTTCAACTTTACACTTACAGTTTGAAATGTAATTGTTTTCTTTGTGTAGGCTCTTGGCAAAGATATTTTGGATGCTAAAATTTCTGGCTTGAACAGTGAGATTCTGAAACTTGAAGAACAAATCACTCATATAAAAGACAAAATTTTGCCTGCTGTGGTAAGAGAGAATGCCCAGTTACTGAATATGCCAGTCGTAAAGGGAGATTTCGATCTGCAGATTGCTAAACAAGACTATTACACAGCAAGACAAGAGTTAGTTTTAAATCAGTTGATAAAGCAAAAGGCATCATTTGAACTTGTACAATTATCATATGAAATTGAATTGAGAAGGCATTTGGACATATATCGTCAGCTTGAAAACTTGGTTCAAGAACTTAGTCAAAGTAATTTGATGCTCCACCACCAATTAGAAGTGCTGACAGACCCATCTGTATCTCAGCAGATAAATCCAAGGAATGCCATTGATACCAAGGATTATTCTACTCATAGGTAGGCTTCATTGTTTCTTTAGTGAATAATTATTTTTCCATTCGTTTTTGTAAAATACTAGAGTTTGAACTAAAATTGTGGACGTTTAGAGAATTCTTTGCCCTCCATTTTTGGCCTTTGTATTCTTTTTTTCCACCTTTCTGTTATATTCTTATATGTTTCTTTTTCCTTTTTAATTCTTGCTCTCTTTTTCATTTATGTTAAATCTGGAAGTAGCTGGTTTAGAGGTGAGGTGGATGGGTTGGAGGATTGAAAATATACAATACAAGGTCTTTATTCATGTTTAGGCACTATTTATTGGTAGATGTTTTTAGATTTGGGGCAGGAGTTTAACTTACAGCAGGAGGTTTGAATACAGCTGGGTGTATAGCAAGTATTGCAGAGCAGAGAATTGACTTCATGTGGAGAAGGCAGCAGTAGAGAGGAGAGAAGACTTCATTTTTGCGTCTAGTCAGGTGAATCAGCAAGAATGAATGCGAGCTTCCAGTCTTTTCTGGATGTCTAAGCAATTGATGGTATGGGGATACTGAAATTGGAGGGCTAAAGTAGTCAAAGGACTCAGAAATCTCGATGCTACTCCTGATTTTTCTCTAGGCTAGAAGAAAATCATCTAACACTTTGTGTTCTTATTAATGAAGTGAAGGGCAGGGATAGGGCTGCCTCACTGCACACTTGCAGAGGTGGCATTGACCTCATGATTCTGTGTAAATGGTGCCCCCTGGAATTGTGTAGTGACATTCCACAAGAACAGAACTGGCCTTAGGCTTGAACCTGTTTTAGAAAACCTGTTGCAACTTGTTAAAATAATTAAAATAATACATTTTAAAAAAATTCTAAGAAAAAGAGCAGACACTTTTTGTCATAAATATGTAGAAGGTGCTGCCTCACATTTTTCCATTAGTCTTGTAGGATATTTCTGCCATTAATGTTTGAAGTGTTAAAGTGACCTCATGGTTCATTAGAAATTTAATTTGTCAAGCAAATATGGACATGACTGGAGTAGCAAGTTTACTATTACTATTTACGTAGCTCTTCACTGTTTACTTTTCTAAACATTTTACGTTGTTTATATTTTCATTTTTTCTCTTTTAAGTTTACCACAGTCCTTTAAAATTAGGTAGGTATTACGATGTGAAAATTAAGTCTCAGAGGTTGACTTGACTTAGGTCTTACATGGCAGCCAGAACTCAGATCTCGGTCTTCTGTTTCAAGTTCATTGCTGTTTCTACTACATCATAGTTATGTTCTGTGAAAGAATTGTTTTCTAGGGAGGTACCTCTGAAACGTTTGTTTGAAGTAGGTTAATGGCGGTTAAAGTCAAAAAGAATTTTTTGTCTAAAACTTGGAAGATGGGAAAACTGGGGATTCAGATACAATAATTAGAATACATATTTCTGTAATGAGGTAGTATTTTAGTTGGAATGTTTTTAGTTGTTTGATTAATATTTATAGGTTGCTAGCTTTCCCCAAAGATGCCCCAATGTATAGTGGATTATAATTTTGAAAACTGTACTGACTTGAGAATTTTTTTCCATAATTTTTGATCTTCACATTTTAGGCTTTATCAACTTTTAGAAGGAGAGAATAAGAAAAAAGAATTGTTTATAACCCATGGAAACCTGGAAGAAGTGGCTGAGAAATTAAAACAGGACGTTTCTTTGGTACAAGAGCAGTTAGCAGTATCTGCTCAAGAGCATTCTTTCTTTCTGTCCAAACTAAATAATGATGTGGACATGCTTCGTGATGCTTTGTATCAAGGAGGAAATCAGCTTTTGCTTAGTGATCAGGTGGGTGTTTGCCATAGTAATTAAAAATACTTTAAAAAATAGTGTTCAGGGCTTCCCTGGTGGCGCAGTGGTTGAGAGTCTGCCTGCCGATGCAGGGGACACGGGTTTGTCTCCCAGTCCGGGAGGATCCCGCGTGCAGCAGAGCGGCTGGGCCTGTGGGCCATGGCCGCTGAGCCTGCGCATCCAGAGCCTGTGCTCCGCAGCGGGAGAGGCCACAGCGGTGAGAGGCCCACGTACCACAAAAAAAATTAAAAAAAATAAAAATAAAAAACAGTGTTCATTGTAAAAGATGCTAAAGAAAATGTTAACATGAGGAAAATATTACTCCATATCCCATTGCCCTAATAATAACATTTTCATATCTCATTTTTATTCATATAAAACATAAATATATTTTTCAGATCGTTTTGATCAGTGTACACAGAATTTTAAAAATTTATGAAATATTTCAGATGTAGAAGGATATATAATGTTTATGTTAAGAATTAAGAAAAATAAAACCACCCCTGTATTTTTTTCACCTATCTTAGTAAATAGAGGATTGCCCTCATATCTCTAAAATCCTGTGTACACTTAGTAATAGCATGCTCCTCCTCATAGCATTCCCCTCTCTTCTTCAAGGAGTAACTGTTACGCTTAATTTTGTCATTCGCTTTCTTTTATTTAAAATACAGACCATGTGTTATTTAGTTTTGTATGTTTCTGAGTTTTATATAGATTGTATTAATGTATTCTTTAGTAACTTGCTTGTTTCTTAGTATGATTTTGAGATTCATCCATGTTGATAGTTGTAAAGCTATAGCTCATTTATAGTTTTCTCTTTTGTATCGTTAGTATTCTCTTATGTGACATTCCACAATTATCTGTTCTGTTGACAGACATTTAGATTATTTCCAGTTTTTGTCATTGTAGATCATACTGCTATGTATAGTCTTGTTGCATGTCTTATAGATGCATGCCTACACACACACACACACACACACACACACCACTCGCTGTCCCCTCACACAGGCGTGGAATTGCTAGATAACAGGTTCAGTTTTACGGTGTACATCAAACTGATTTCTAAAGGGGTTGTACCATATTGTACCAGCGGTGTTTAAGAGATGCTATTTGTCCATATCCTTTTCATCACGTAGCACTGTCTGATTTATAATTTTCTCTCACTCTCACTCAAGTTTAATCCACCAGGAGTTTTATTTTTATGTATGACATGAGAGGTAGGATTCTCATCTTATTTTTTCCCTATGAATAACCAAATTGTCCGATCATCATTTATTGAGGCATACAAATTGAAAATCAGTATCTTTCTGGTGAAGGGACCCCCTTACATTATGAGATAAAGGATCCTTAAATGCCTTCTGCCTTCATGTATGTTTTGTTAGATATTTTGGGCACCACCACTTCTGAACCATAAACTGGGTTCAGACTCTGTTTTCGGAGGACCCAGGTGACTCCTATCTGGGCTGTAATTCTAACCAAGGGCTCTTCCACCTCTGGCCATCCTGACCTCAAGATTGTTGGTGTCCTTTGAGTCCTTACTTTATTATGAAGAGAGTCTCCTGTTTGACTTCCCACCTCCTGTGGACCTTGGACTTTGATTTTTCTCCCACTCATCTGTGAGTCTCAGGAATCATGGATTCTGATTTTCCAAGATTGGCAATTGAGTAAAGCACCTCCTGGGCTCCCTTACCAATCTGCATTGTTTTATGGACTTGTAGTTTCTTTTAATGTCTTGTTATCTCTTTGTTGCTTTTAGGAAGCTTTTGTTTTGTTTGACTCTTTAAGTGCTTCATTTCACCTTTCACATTTTTTCCTGTGGAAGAATTGATCTGAGTAACTAGCTTACTTTTCTTGAAATAAGAAGGCTTACGATTAGCTTTTTTTTTTTTTTTTTTTTTGCGGTAC